CAGTGGGTATCAGGAAGAAATACTGGAGCTTTCATTAAGCTTTATGTCCATCTCAGCCTTTTTTATTTATTTTGGGTTGCTTTGTAACGCTCTCATTATATTCGCCTCATGGAATAGGTATATAATTTAAATAAGCATGCATATATTTAATAGGATTTTTATCACTTGTCATTTTATCATTTATTATTATTATTTAACCACAAAGCATATGATTAAATTTTTTTCTGATGGGATTTCTGATTTAAAAATGGGGAGCCACAGGTCCAAATGGAAGCCCCTCTGAAATTCCCTGAAAGGCACGTGGCTGGCTTAAACTCCACATGTGGCTTCCGGTCACTGATATTGACAGCCCGGAAGTGGCTTTGGGAAAGGCCTCCTTCCCTTGGCTGTTGCTCGTGTCTCGGTGGCCCTGCTGTGTGGGGTCTCAGAAGCCGGTGAATGTCCCAGGCCACTTGTCCCGAGTGCAGAGTTCACGGGGAGCCGTGCGCATTCATCTCATCCTCAGTGGGAATGGCAGCCCCGCAGGTGCCTCGTCCCTACCTGCCGTGGGCGCAGTGTTGCCTGCAGGACGCGAGGTGACCTGAGTCACTGTGGGACTCCATTTTGCAGGAACCAGCTGTTGCACGTGCCACTGAGGCAGCACCAGGTGAGCTGCTGTGACTGGCTGCTGAAGGTCATCTGTGGGGTGGTGGCCATCCGCACGGTGTACGCCTCGCACAAGCAGGCCAAGGCCTGCCTCATCTCTCGCATCAGCTGCGAGCGTGCCGGCGCTCGCTTCCACACCCGCGGCGTCAACGACGATGGCCATGTGTCCAACTTCGTGGAGACGGAGCAGGTCAGTGCCCAGGCCCGTCTGTGGCCCCGAGTGGATGAGAGTGGACACAGTCTGAGCAGATGTGTTTCCATTTGGGGGGTATTTGAGGCAGTTTTTGATGACCGTGCCTCCTTACTGTGATAGAACAGAGTGCATAATTGGGGCTCTGCCCGCAAATGGGCCTCTGGTTTGCATGCTGTATCTTTTTTGATTGACTTCTCGTGCTGGGAAAATGTTTACTTGAGATATTTTCAGCTAAAAGGAAGCAAGAATTTTTGCCATGGTCAGGAAGGGTGGCAGTTATTCAGAGAGCAGCTGATGGATGAACCAATAGGATTTGAAAATCTTTTTAAGACAAACATAAGTAGATCAGGGCCAGCCCCCATGGCCTAGTGGTTAAGGTCGGCATGCTCCGCTTCGGCACCCCGGGTTTGGTTCCTGGGTGCAAACCTATGACGGCAGCTCACATACAAATTAGAGGAAGATTGGCAACAGATGTTAGGTGAGGGTGAATCTTCCTCAGCAAAAAAAAAAAAAAAAAAGTAGATCAATAACGGAAGGATGAGAAAAGAAAATTATTTTTCTTTCAAATCAACTGAAACTTCACCCTAGCAAGTATTAGCACCTGGGAGTTGTGACATCTGCATGTTAAGCAGCAGTGGCTTTGAGCTCCCATGGAAGATGGTTATAACCATCTGCTTAATTTCTCACTGATTTTTTTTTTCCAAATTCTGTTCTCACTCCTAGAGATGCTGTCTTACAACTGTTTTTTTCCTGTCTCTAACTTGCAATCTGTAGGATGGTTCCACCATGTAGACTAACAGGTGTAATAAATTGCAGGAAAGGACCACTGTGAAAGGCACAGGTGTGATTGGCTGTGGGCATCGGGCTTCCAGCAGCCTGTGTTTACTTAGTGGTCGGCTGGCTCTGCATCCCCTCCTTGACACACACCTGTGAGGCCTGTTTCCCACGAGGACTTCAGCCAGTTTAATTCAGCACAGATTGGAGTGCTGCCTTCAGTGTGCGAGCGGCTGCCTGTCCAGCTTTCAGAGGCACAGAGGCGAGGAGCGTCCTCTTGGGGTCAGATGCTGAGTGGGAACGTTTGGAACAGGAGCCTTAAGATGAGCGGCAATTGCTTACCTGCAACTTCTGTTCACACTGTCTGCTCTCCTGGATATAGACGAAGCTGGTAAAGATCTGGTTAAAAATGACAGAAAACTTGGCCCCCAGGTGGAGACTGTTTTTCTTGTTGCTTGGTGTCTGCAGGATGAAAAGTACTTCCTTTTGTTGTCATGCCCGCTTTCATGAACAGTTTTCATCCCAGTTTTTCCGCTTGTGCCTTTGAACCATTCAGTTCGTTCAACAGCTCTTTATTTTTTATCACTTGCTATGGACTGGGTGCCATGCTGGGAACTGGGGGCCAAAGGTACAAAGTGTGTTTGTACGAATCAAATACCAGAGACTGAACCTGGAAGCGGAGCCGATTCAGGAGTCCGTCAGTGGCGGCCATGGAGCGCGTCCCTGCAGCGCAGCTCCTTCTCCGTCCAGCCCGTGCACGGATAATATCTTGCTTCGTCCTCTTGTTCACTGTTCTCTGGATTTTTGCATTTCAACCAGCTTTTTAAAAAATTGGAGTCTTATCTATTATATCCTATCAAGTAAGTCGTTGGAAAATGACTGTCCTCCGTGTCACTGTCCTTTCCTACAAGAGAGGGCATTTTAATGCTGGAGATGTGAGAGGACTGTATGAGTTTCCTTGAGCTGCTGTAACAAAGTCCCACAACCTGGGTGGCTTAAAGCAAACGTCTGAGAAATGTATTGTCTCAGTGCTGGATGCTTGAAGTCTGAAGTGACGGTGCTGGCTGGGCTGCGCTCCCTCTGAAGGCTCCAGGGGAACCTCCTTCCCTGCCTCTTCCAGCTCCTGGTGGTCCAGCATCACTCCAATCTCTGGCTCCCTCTCCGCGTGGCATCTCCTCCCTGTGTGTCTCTCTCCCTTTTTATAAGGACAGTCCTACTGGGTTAAGGGCCCACCCCACTCTGATGTGACCCCACCTTAACTCATTGCATCTGCAATGACTCCATCTCCAAATAAGGTCACATTCCGAGGTGCTGGGGCTTAGGACTTCAACATATCTTTTTGGGGGACACAATTCAACCCATAACAAGGACGTAATCCTTTTAAAGGACCACACTTTAGAAGTAGTGCATTTGGCTTTATGAAAAATCTCCCTCTTGTCTTTGCTTTTCTCATTTTTCTGCAGACTAGGGTTGGGGTCTTTGCTCTGGTTATTTCATCTCCGTGTGCCTGGTGCCTTGTGTTTGTCCCCTCTGAGCCCAATTTACTTGCTCGGGCTTGGAGGCAGGGGCCACCCCCCTTCCCCCAGCGCTAAAATCTGACCTTACTTTGTTGCCATGATCAAGAAGAGGAAAGTCACTTTGGGAAGATAGGGCCAACTCAGCTGCACACTGGATGGCAAATTCATTGCTGATCCACTTGCAGTTTAGCTGTCTGTTGAGGACCTTGTCCCGTCCTTCACCTTGTGGCCAGCCTGGCAAGACCTTAGAGATACCAGTGGCCTGTGCCTCCCCTCCTGGGGCCTATAGCCAGGGCTATTTAAATGGCCTCCCTTCTCAGGACTTGGGGAGGGGTTTCTTCCCATAGCCTTTTTGGTCTTCCTAGTTTGTATTTTTCCTCTTTCCTCCTCTGGGCTCTGGATCACACAGTGCTGCTCTCAGTGAAGCTCTCACCCCCACCTTGCTCCCAGGACCAGTGGGTGAGCCGAAGGGCAGCCAGACACCCCCATTGGCTGTCTGCCCAGCGACGGCAGGCGGCTTCGAATGCAGCGCTCTCCCAGACTGAGAGGTTGCAACTTAACCCCACGGTGATTCCGTTTCACCAGATACACACCCGGCCGTTCTTTGTGGGGCGCGTCCATTTCAGGCTGCTCCCAGTGGACCATGTGCTCTCCACTGTGGGAAGTAGGAGCCCAGGATGATTCACACCATCAGAGCCCCCAAACCATGTGACCGCCATGGCGCGTGGGGGAGAAGGCTGCCACCAGGGGAGGGGAAAAGTCAGTTCCTGGAGCCCATTCCAAGGGTGACCTAGTTGGTAACACAGCAGCCACCCTGAGCCCCTCAGCTGAGTTTGATCGTGAGCCTGCCAGGTGGAGACACAGCAGGAACAGGACGTACGGGCTGGCCCTTGCCGGCAGGTGGCTTCACCCTCCAGGGGGTGCCTCTCTCAGTCAGTGCTCAGCTGCGAGAGAGACGGGAAAGACAGCAGAGCAATTGAGGGCAGGGAGAGATCTGTGTGCTAGGGGACCGTGCAGGTGGGGCAAGCCGTGGAGGGGGAGGAAGACACAGATGAGATTGAGGAGGGCAGCGAAGGCACATGCTTCCTTTGGAAAGCATCCTGCTGCGGGATGCCCAATGATACTCACAGGACTGGGCATGGTCCTGATGGGGGATCCTCCCTTCCTGGAAGCCAGCTCCAGGTAGTGTCTAGCATAGAAACATCATCCCCTTCTCTAAAAGGCTTACGGAGGCAGGATGAGCAGAGATGGCTGAGGCGAAGCAGCTTCTCCCAGAGGAACGAGAAACTCACGTTGCTCCACTTACAGCAAGAGAGCCGCTTGCTCTCTGTCTCTGGACTCGTGGGATGTTTTTATTTATGGTGCTTTGTAGCAACAAAGGTGCTGAGGTTGATCTAAGCTGTTTTCTTTTTTAGCACAAAAATCTTTCTCTAAGTCGAATCTGTACTTCCCGGCGTTCCTGCCGAGCGCGGCTTTGCCTTCCTGCCCTGCTGGCCGCCTGCTGGTGATGGTACTTCTAAGGATAAGTCGGGGATTGGCGCAGCGGGAGGATGCTCAGCCTGCAGGCGTATGCTGAGCTCCGGGAAGCAGCTTGGGGAAGGGAGGGCGCACAGTGAGCGTGAAGGAAACTTCCCTGTGCCCCGTCCACGTCCACCCGTCTAGGACTGAGGGGATCTGATGGGATCCTGGAGAAGTCATTAGCGAAACCACAGTGGGTTCCTTCCTGGCCAGTTAAATAAGACTCTCCACCGGAAGTAGTGGTCTGATAGAGTAAAGTATATTTGCAGCAAATAGGAGGCCACACAGAATCGTTTCCAGAGTCATAGTGTCCCCGAACAAAGGGAAGCGGGGACATTTATTTCCGATGGGGAATGAATATTCACAGGGGAGAGGTGGGTATTGACTTGCGCAGGCTCAGTTGGAAAACACACTTCCACACACACTACAGGTTATGGCAATAAGGCCTGAGCTCCTCCTGCAGAGATCTTAGCATTGAAAATAAGGCAAAGGTCAGAGGCGGAGCTCTCGTGGTGAGGCTGGTCTGGTTCAGGAAGGTTGGTGACTGCATCTCCTCAGCATAACAAAAGGGAAAAGAACAGTTTGGAAAAACAGTTAAATGCTTCCAGACTCACCCTTGAATTCCTCAGGGCAACTAGTGAGTGACGGATTAGGATCGCTGATGGCGTACGGCTGGTCCTGCTCTCTGGAGCTCGTGGAGCCATGATTGTGAGCCCCTGGTCGGATGGTGTCGTGGGGCAGGCAGAGTGCACCCTCAAATGGGCGGCCTTGGTGGCTTTGCTTATGGTGAAAGAGCAGATGGAGGGTGCATCACAGGCCCTCAAATCAGTGATTCAGTAACAGGGGGTAGGGGGTGGGGTAGATTCTTTCAGGTAGCACAGAGTTGCCTGCTTCGTGAGCTTACGCTTAAAGAAATGGCAGGCTTTGAACCTCGGCCTCCTCGCCCAAGATTGGCAGGAGGAAGTTGGTGCTGAGCTCGTGGCGGCAGGAAGGAGCCTCCGCTGGGGCAGCTCAGACCCTCTTAGTGGGAGTGGCAGCCCTGCGGTCAGTGCATGCAGGTGGCTGAGGAATTGCCAAGTGGTCATTATTTGCAAACAAACGACTAAACAAAGACAGATTGGCAACTGGGCTTCTCCTGAATGCCATGCTCGGGGAGCCAGAAAAGGAGGTGCTTTTGGCATTGTCCACTCTGCCTACTTTTAACATTTTTCCTAAGAGGGATGAACAGTCTTTCTTCTCCAAGGCAGGCTGTGTGTGTGTATGTGCACACATGTAGGGGGGTGTTTTGTGTGTGTACGCATGCGTGTGTGTGTGCTTTTTGTGTGTATTGTATGTTAGGTGCATGCACGTGTGGGTATTGTGTCATGTGCGCACACGTATATGTTGGGTGTGCATTTGTGTGGGGTATGTGTGTGTGTGCACAAGTGCAGAGGCATCCCAGTGTCCCTGGGAGGGAGCCTGAGTCCTTCCGGCTCTGCTCTGAGTCATACCTGGTGCACTCGCTCTGCAGCCATGACTCACTGTGCAGATAAACAAAACCCAAAAAGTCCCCTGGGTCTACCAAGAGATAACTATCTGGCCATTGAAGATGAGGTGGCTGATTAATCCAGGGAGGTTAGGATGACTGTGCACGTCCTCCCAGGAAGGCAGACTGGCAAAGAACTGGTTTGCAAACACCTCATCCGGAAATCGAAGTTCAGCCAAAAGCCTTTTAGATAAAAGTGTATCTACCTGGTCTGCTTGTCCCTTTCGCTTTATGGTCATAGGGTTCCTGCTCCCGCCACTCTGTGAAAGGGGCCTCTCAGGGTTGCCAAGTCCAGGGGGTCCCAGGCCTGCCCTGGCCTGGCCTGGCCTTGCCGCCACACGGCCATGGCCACAGTGGAGTCCCTCCTTCCTGAAATGCCCTGCTGGTGTCCATCCCACCTCTTGTCTATCTTGTCCTGGGTTAAACCCTTGTTTGCGTCTCTGCGTCCTCTGCAGGGGCTTTGTCCACACTCACGGGGCAGCATGTTCCTGGAGGCCTGCCATGCCCTGGGATCACACTCCCTCATTGACTCCTCCTTCTGTGACCAGGTGATATTAACTCCATTGAGAGAGAGGGAAACTGAGGCTGGAAGTGGTTAAGGAACGTATCCAGGGTCATCCTGCTGGGCAATGGGAGTTGGTACATGGAAGCTGGACCCAGGCTGCTGTCCCAGAGCCCAGTGCTGACCTGCTTTCACTCTCCATCCCGCCTCTCCTCCCCCGGGGACCCCAGATGCCCTCTGTTAAAATTACATCTGTGAGGTGAGACATCCCGTCTCCCACTAGTGTTAAAACATATGTTCTTTAGCCCAGAAAGGAAAGCACCATAAATCCATCACGAGTGTTTGATGACCAGGTTTATCCTATCACCTTGGGAACAAAGAAGGTGGTCCTGATGATAGGATGGGGACCCAGAAGTAGAATATTTTCGTGTAGGAGGGAGGAGTGCAGAAATTTGGAGGCATCTTTTCTTCTGGCCCCAGGCGTGGGGTCTGGCGCGCTGTGACTGCCTCTTGGTGTCTTCTGAAGCTGGTCCCGTGTAAGTTCCAGGTTAAAAGGATCGCCGTCTAGTGCTGGAAGTACTGCAATTAGCGCATGTTAATTAAAGCGAAGGGTAATGTTCCTTAGCTTACAGCAGATCCTGGGCACTGTTAGGAGTGGGCTTTATGGAGAGATGTTAGCTGAGTTAGTTTCTTTCTCAGCAATCGGGACCTGTGCAGGTCACACGTGCAGCTCAGTTGTACGCACTGAATCTCCTTGTAGCTGACTCCGCCTGCCATACTGTAACCGATCTGCTACTTTCTTCTCTTTTTGTCAGTAGAATAATAGAGAGTAACAAATGGGCTGGTAGTCAATATCTGGAAACAGACAACCCTTCCTTAACCCAGTGCTTTTTTCCTTTGGGGATTAAGGGATAGAATTTCAGCTCAATAGTATAGCCGCAAACTCATGGAATTCCCGTAGTCCAGGGAAGCTGCGGGCCTGATGTTCAAGTCCTCCGCAGCGGAATTACTAATGAATGTGTGATCTGAGCGTGATCTAGCTGCCTGGAAAGCTGCCCTGTAAGGGAGCAGGCCAGTAAGAAATGGAAAGGACCAGCAGCATCGCCCAGGCCGGCCCTGCCAGGCCAGGCTAGAGTTACTCAGATAAAGGACAGCACATCTGATAACTGCCACAGCCCCACCTCATGACGCTCAGCACTGTGCTTTTTGTCCTTTTAAAGCTCCCTTGTGCTACAATGTCAGTGGGGGCCAGCAGGCCCATGAGGAGTTGGTACCCTGTGTGCGGGCAGAGGAGGAGATATGTGTCTTTAATGTATCGGTTTCATCTGCCTCTATGCAGGTGCTATCACACTGGAAGCTTGTGGAAGCTGTGTTGTGTGTTGACTTAGTGGCATGTTCAAGAACACACTGGCAGAAGGCCAGGCCAGCTACAAGTCAAGTCAAGTCTTGACTTGCGTTGTCAAGTACAGGCCTCACTAGTGCCGTCAACTAGGTTTTGGGGCTATGGCTTGTTCATTTCATTCAGTCCTTTTCCAGTCGCTCTCTGCTACTTGGCAAGGTGAAAATAGAGGGCTCCGAAGAAGATCTTAGTTAAATTCCTAAAATGGGGGGTGGGGGGAGCGTTGCTGGGCTTTTCAGGAAGCTTGGTAAGGTGGTGCGAATTCCCTGCCTGCTGCAGCAGACCGTGGGAGGCCCGGCCCCTGCTCTGGACTCCTCGGAGGCTGGTCGGCAGCCAGCATCCCGTGAGTGCGTGGGGCCGGCCTGTGGGTCAGGCAGCAGCCCGGCCACACTGGGGAAAGGAGCAGAGGGCGCTGGAGTGGCTGTCTGCCCTTCATTCCGACTGGTGTCGGGTCTCAGGCAGCCGGATCCCGTTACCCGGCCTCAGGACATTCGGTTTCATTGAAGAATACTTTTTCCCTTTATGTTTCCTTGTGGTGCAGACTATTTACATGGATGATGGAGTGTCGTCTTTTGTCCAGATCAGAGGCTCCGTTCCGCTGTTTTGGGAGCAGCCAGGACTCCAGGTAGGTAATAAAAAAAGTATGTCCACGTGTGTTACTGTTCCCCCGGCCCTGTCTTCTAAACAGCTGTGGTTTGTTTCTTTTAACCATGTTTCTTTCATGGCACAGTTTCTGGTCTTTGTCCTCAGCCCAGTTGGCTTGAGCTGAGCTGTCAAAGCGTGCACACAAGCGTCTGTGGGTGTGCGTGCATGTCTGGTGTTTATACAGAAACATACACATTGTGTGTAATTTTCTGATCACGAGCTCACCGTTGAAGCAGGTTAAGCGGAAGGTCTTTGCTCATGAGTGAACCGCAGGGTCATTGAGTAGAATCACCTTAAGTTAGACCCAAAGTTCATTGTATTGAAAACATGGCCAAAGATGCTTTTTGGGAGTTGTGACGTCCCAGAGGGCTGTGAGAGGTCCTTGGGGCCCGGTGGCTGTGCACCAGTTCTGGCGATTGGAGGTGCCTTTTGTGGGGCCGCGTGAGAATTGCATAGAGCTTTCTCATGATTTCTAAAAATACACCTTGCCATCCCAAACTGGGCTCTGGTCAGTGCCAGAGGCATTTGGCATGCTGGCTCCTGGGGAGAATTCAGGATGTGGTGCCATGTTCCAAGAACACATTTGTCGTCAATGAAACGCGCACTGCCTCATTCTTGAGTTCCTACCCAGGGGGGTCACGGACGAGTGGACTTGAAATTCCTCAACACCAGCCCTGGATCTTCCTCCCTGGCCTGCAGGAACGTTGGTGCACTCAGAAGACCTCTCTGCCCGGGCCTCTGTCCCTTCGACTCTTCTTACCCAGGACTCTGCATGATGGCAGTTGGGTCGTCAGCCAGTGGCTGACGAGGCTCAGGGCCATCTGTCAGGTTCTTGGGGGTGTTTGACACAACTCGGTCTTACACTAGCCCTTGACTTGACCCCGTGTCAGCAGTAGGCACTTTGTCCTCGTGACTGTCATTGTGCTGCAGTTGACAGCCATGGAGAGGAACCATGTCAGTTCTTCAAGTAAGATGGATGGATGAGGGTCTCGTTTGGGCTCTGACTTCTGTGGAGGGGAAAGAAGGAAGCTTTATTAACGTTCAGTCTTTCCATTAGAAAGGGAACAACTAAGATGAATGAGGATGGCTGGTGGCTTTAAGTGATGGCATAGAAAAGTACTCCCGAGGATAATTATAACATGGAAAATTCCTCTGGAGTTCATCCCAAAAGACTTATTTTTTTTTAAACAGCTATATTGAGATATAATTTATATACCATAAATTTCACCCATTTCAAGCATACAATTCAATGGTTTTTAGTGCGTTTACAGACTTGTGTAGCCATCACCATAATCTAATTTTAGAACATTTTCATTGCCGCTAACAAACCCTTTACCCATCAGTGGTCGCTCCCCACCCCCTCCCAGCTCTCCATGAGCAACTGTTAGTCTACTTTCTGTCTCTATAGATTTGCCTGTGCTGAACATTCCAGAACGGTTTTTGAAACTTGATCTTCTTTAGATTTGGAGTTTTCTTTCTGAGGCTTCTGGAGCTCTGCGTTTAGAAGCATAAAAAGTGAAGATCAAATGAGTAGAGTGCGAAAAAGAAAAGAGGGAGACCGCATTATGTTTCAAGTTAAAATTTGTAAGAAAGACAAAACTTGGGGTGCTGGTCATGATACAGTCCTAGAATTTGGAAAGGACCCTTTGAAATTCATCCATTTCCCCGTGTCACCTAGTTCAAGGGTGCTTCTTCCAGCATCTGTGAGAGGCTAGCCTCCAGAGGCCACCATTTGGGGTGGCTGCGATCATTAGTGAGTTCCTCCTTGCGTTGCGCACTGTCCGTCTGCAGGCTGTTCTGGGATGCACCAGAGTAAGTCTGATTCCTCAGCCTTCAAGGAGGATGCTCATGGCTCTTCCTTTCTCCCTTTTGTCTTCTCCAGAATCTTCCAGCTCCTTTGGGCATCTTCTCTCCTATTTCTAGGACCCTCCATGTTCTGGTGTCCTTCTAAAAACAAAGCAGAACTTGTTTGTCGTTCCCCTCTTTAATTTTCGCTTCCAGCTTGACCCTCTTGATGCTCCAGACACAGTCTGACCCTGTCGTGGAACACCTGCCGCTGAGTGTGACACAGACAATGTCAGTGGAACCTGGTGGCCCGCTTTCCGGCAGCTCTAGTACCTTTCAGATTCATAACACTTGTGCTTCTCCAGAGCCTCCGAGGTTTCTTCAAAATAAGTTTCAAAAGGCTTTCATATTCATTAATCTTACTAAAGATTTGCTGGCCTTTGGGTCTAATACTCATGTTTATCCTCTAGATACCATCCGTCATCAGAGAGAGATGAGGTCATCTTCACAGGGCACCAGGAGGGCAGCTTTTGGTGGTGGTCCACGGTCACCCTACCTGAACTATCAGTAGCAAGCCTGAGGATCGATTCTGGTTGTTTTTCTCCGTTTTGAACTTTTTCCCTTCCTTTTGCGCTCAGGTTAGATGAAAGGTGCAAAGATTTTTTGGGTGAATAGCATGCATTTTAAGTTGGAGTGTTGCACCCCGTTGGGGCTGCCCCAGGGAACCCCTGAGCCCTGCCAGGGATGGGGAGGGAGAATGGGGCGGGCAGAGAGGACTGTGGGATGATGATTTGTCTGCACATTTCTGCTGGAATGGTACTTTCATGACAAACTCCTGGATCCTGATGCCATTTCTAGCAACCGTGTACCTTTAACACTTTCATCTTTACCGTGTAAATAGGTTTGCAGTTTATAAAGATCCACACTGAAATTTTACCCTTAAAACTAATTGCTTTTAGAGTGTATTTTTTATATACTGTTAGTCTCTTGAAGATTTTGCTCCACTTGTCACTTTCGAATCTTCCTCCCCCGTAACATGCGTATAGAGACACATCTTGCAAAGGTGAGTTAGGTCTGTATTTTGAAGGTTCCGATGACTCAGCCAGCTGGAGGAGGATGCAAAGTAATTAATCCTTTCTGCTGCTCCCACGTTGCCTACATTCGCCTCCTCCTTGTCAAGGACCATTTACTAAGCTCTTGGATGCACGGCACTGTATGTGCTCGTTTGCGTGCTGTACAACCAAAATGTGGATGTGAGCCGGCTCGTAGCACAACAGTTTCAAAAATGATGAAGAGGTTGGGGTGAGGGGAAAAAATACTTACAATGAAAATCAACTGAAGCCAAGATAAAGTTGCACACGCGATGCGGGCCGTGGGTTTGTGTACCTGCCCAAAGCTGCTGAGCTTACCAGCCAGCAGCACAGAAAGAAACAAGATTGCAAGGCCACCTAGCACGTGACTCAGAGCATGAACCTGGAAGTTAGACGGACCTGGGTTCCACTTCCAGTTCTGGCTCCCCCACTTAGGAACTGTATACTTTTGAGAAGTTTTTATCTCGGGAAAAAAAAGTTCGTAACTCAAAAAGCTGAGAAGTTTTTATCTTTGCTAAACCTTACTATGCTGTTCTGTAAAATGGGGTTGACAGTACTGACCTCACAGGGTTGTGGAAAGAATTAAATATCATAATGTATATTAGAATTGAGCACAGTATCTAGAACCTAGAAAGCACTCAAAAGTGGTAGCTGTTGGGGCCAGCCCAATGGCGCAGTGGTTAAGTGCGCTCGTTCTACTTCGGCAGCCCGGGGTTCACTGGTTCGGATCCTGGGTGTGGACATGGCATTGCTTGTCAGGCCATGCTGTGGTAGGCATCCCACATATAAAGTAGAGGAAGATGGGCATGGATGTTAGCTTGGGGCCAGTCTTCCTCAGCAAAAAAAAAAAAAAAAAGGAAAAAAAGGAGGATTGGCAGCAGTTAGCTCAGGGCTAATCTTCCTCCAAAAAAAAGTGGTAGCTGTTAATATTATTAATAACATAAATAAATTATAACATGTAGGAGATAAGAACACAAGTTGCATCAGAAGGACCATGGCCCTTTGCATCTTGAGAGTGAAGTAAGAGATTCCCCCTAAGTCCCCGTGAGGACACTGGGGTGTAGTGACAGTGTCCTCATATCTCCCTATCAATATGCAGCACAAGGGCCAGTCTCCTAGTCTGTTCCATGTCCTAGCCCTCAGAGACACCCCGGAGTAAGCCATTTATTTGTCCCACACTCATTGAGCATCTGTGGGTACATGAGGGCACCTGACCTTGGTATAGCCCCTGCCTTTGGGCGGAAGGGGACAGGGCTTGACAGTGTTGTGTGGAAAGAGCCTGAGAGAGAGGCAGCGGCTCTGGAGAGGGCCAGCTCCTGCAGGCTGAGGGGTGGGCGTCTGAGCTGACTTGGGAGCGTCAGGATGGAATCACCCAGGCAGGGAAGGCAGCCCTTGCAGAGAGAACCACAGAGGTGGATGTTGCAACCCCTGAGGTCCCAGCGTATCCGGAGAACCACACTGGCATGGCTGCTCGCAGTCCTGGGCACGGGGGCGTGGGGAGACTGGAGAGGCAGACAAGGGCCAGATCAGGACGGGCTTGGTGTGTTCCACTGGGGAGTTTACGCTTTACCCCAGGAGCCACTGGAAGAGTGGTACCCAGACTTTGTTGCACATTAGCATCCCCTGTGTAGCTTATTGAACCTGACACCGAGGTGCGTGCCATCCCGTTTAAGTCACAGTGTCTGGGGGTGGAAGCCAGGCATCTACTTTTTGAAGACTCCAGATGACTCGATGTGCTGGAGGATTTAGGAACCACTCAGTGCTATGCTGTTAAGCCCGGTTTCTTAGGGCCAGGAGGGACAAGTTCGGATTTGTAGCATCTGCCCGTTTCTGCGGTGTAAATACTCCCATCATGGCCAATTTCAAGCTACCAGCTTGACGTCACTGAACTGGGAGGTGGCAAGAGATGCCCACACAGTCGGCTTGTGAGCTGGTCAGAGCTGGCTCCAGCACACACTGGGCCACTGCACGAAGGGTTTCCAGGGCTGAGGGACATGATTCGGCATAAAGGTAATAGGATTTAGTTTGGAGGGAGAAGACTGAAGGTAAGGACACCAGGTGGGACTGTGGCAGTGATCCAGATGACACATGCTGGCTGCCTTAACTAGGGGAGGGGCAGAGGGATGCCGGGAGAGATTCGGACATGCCATTTGGGACTCTGGGACTCTCCAGTGCTGGTGCAGGCTCTGCTTTGACTAACACAGCCGGGCGTTCTCGAGACTTTGGTTCTTCTCATGGCCAGCTCCCTAGGCTCAGTCTGTAGTCTACAGGAGTGAACTGATGACTTCAGACAGGAGTGATTGGCCAAGTGTCCACTCGGCCAGGGGGAGGAGGCCGGGTGAAGGAGAAGGAGGGAGACTAAAAAATGTAGAGGCAGTCAGTTCCAGAGGCCCGGCGCCAGCGGTGGTTTCATTCCAGCCCCTGACTGCAGCTCGTTTTTGAGGCTTCTGACACACAGTGGCCTCAGGACGGGGTGACACCAGAGAGGAGAGATGTGGGTCAGTGTCAGAGCAGGACAGAGCGAGAGGCAGGGTCCAGGTGGGGGGAGGCAGGACGTGAAGCCTAAGGCAACCAGGCTAAAGGGATGATGAAGGAAGCGTGACCTCTGTGGAGAGGATGTCTGAGGCCCCACTTCTGCCCCAGGCCCTGTCCACTTTCGGAGGTGGGCGGACACAGCGTGTGGTCATGTTGCCCAAGGAAGCAGCCCTGGGCGGGCTAGGCCTGGTCACAGGGTGCCCCATGGCTGTGCAGGAGTGGACACAGCCCCCCGAGCTCATTTCCTGCTTCCTTAGCCCCTCACAGGTATTTGCAACCTGAGCAGAAAGGGAGTAGAGAAAGAAGAGCAGGTGGAAACAGTTCTCGAACTTAGTGTGTGCGCACGCGCATGTGCAAACACAGGAATCAGCTGGAGGGCTTGCTAAAACAGATTTCTGCTTGTTCTCAGTACGCAGGGGCACAGTTTCTGTCTAATTAGTCTGCACCTGTTATGTAGAGCTGTTAGAAACCTTGAAGCGCGCTTGTAGGTCTTTCCACGGTGATCCCAGGGTTCCCTATCTCTTTCCCTTTCCACCGCACCCAGGGCCGTGTGGACCCCTGGGGTCCAGGTGTGCTCACTCAGACCTGGACTGGTTCTGCAGTTCAGAATGGAACTTAGGTCATTGTTATAATGGGAGGAAATTTGAGCCCAGAGATTGGATGCTCCTGAGTCTAGTCATCTGTGACTGAAATTTCTACCTGTTTCGAAGAAGAAACTTTGGGTTATGACTCAGGGAGACAGAGTTAGACGTGTCGAATAAGAGAACTTGTCATGACTAAAACCTAGGCTTCTGGGCCCTAAATCCTGGTCTTTCCAGTCTCCTCTGTGTTCCCATGGGAACGATTCTGGAAACAGCTGCGGCTTATCCCCGAACCCGGGGCAGATTTCTTGTGATGACTGACAGACTGACATGGAGCAAACAGCCCTTTCTCTTGGGTTTCAGGCCCTGGGAATCTCTCAGAGCGGGACTAAGAGGAACATAGACTCGCTTTCCTCCAGCACCTTCCTTGTAAGTTCAGAAGAAAGACAGAGCTGGCTCGCCTTGGAGTGTAGGACAGAGCTGTCTTCTCGGAACCCAGGGCTGTGAAAGTTTTTGGAAGTAAGCATCTGGCAGGTGTTGATGACCATCAAGAAAGGAGGGCAGAGGAAGCATAGAATGAAGACATTGGGTTGAGCCTTTCTTAGGAACTCCCAGAGTTTCTTAGGACCAAACGGATTTGTGACTTTATTTGTAGAATCATTTGGATGGACAAACCTAATCCCAGTAATTTCTAAATCTATTGCTGAGAAACCAGTTTTCTAGATGGGTGCTTTCCTCAAGTGGGAACAGGGCTAGATGTCGTCATACTCAGTAATCATCACATCTCATCTGGATGGATCTCATGACACCACTTTGACAACGCTCAATAACAAGCAAGACTAAACCATACATTTTAAGAAACCTTTTATCTTGAGATAATTTCAGACCTACAGAAAACTCGTAAGACCAGTAGAGAGAACTCCCATTTGTCCTTTACCCAGAGTCTCTAAATGTTAACATCTTGCCACACACACATATGCTATCATTTTTTGAACCACTTGAGAGTCACTTGTGTATATCATGTATCTTCTTAATATGTTGGGGTGTTTCTCCCAAGAGAAAATATATTCTCTTACGTCACTGCAGTGTAGGTTCATTTTCAGGAAATTTAACATTGACCCAATACTTTAATCTGCAGTCCATATTCCAGATTTATCAATTGTCCCAGTAATGTCCCTCATGGCACCTTTTCCCCTTCGGTCCAGGATCCAGGCCAGGATCACGCCCTGCATTTAGGTGTGACATCTCTAGTCTCCTTCAATCTGAATCAGTTCTTCTGCCTTTCTGTCTCTTGTGACACTGACATTTTTAGAAAATGTAGGCCTTCTTTTCCTTTGGATCAAACGTGCCTCATTTTGGGGTTTCCCAGTGATTCATTATGGTCAGGTTGAGGGTATGGATCCCTGATGCCATGTCCTTCCAGGGGTCCCATCTGGAGGCCCACAGAGTCTATCTGGCCCTCTGTAGTGATGTTGATTTTGATCGCATGGGCAAGGTGCTGTTTCATGGCTTCACTTATAGTTAATATATTTTCCTTTTCAACTGATAAGCATCTCTTGAGACTCTGAGGCCATGCCAATATCCCACTCCTCCTCAAACTTCCCCTTAATGTTTCTGATCAAAGGATGATTTTTGCCAAACAATTCTTTACTATGATGGTTATCAAATGACGATTTTTCCATCACTTCCTCCATTTTTATCAGTTGCTATTCTACGGTAAGGAAGAGCCCTCCCTTCTCCCCCATCCACCTGCCCACCCGTCCACCCCTCTGTCCACTCACCCTTCCGTCCACCCACCCAGCCATCTACACATCCATCTGCCCACCTATCTCTCCACTTACCCAGCTGTCTGCCCACCCATCCCTCCACTTACCCAGCTGTCTACCCACCCATCCCTCCACTTACCCAGCTGTCTGCCCACCCATCCCTCCACTTACCCAGCTGTCTGCCCACCCATCCCTCCACTTACCCAGCTGTCTACCCACCCATCCACCTAGCCACCTACTAATCCTTCTGCCTACCCCCCCAGCCATCTACCCTCCACTTGCCTATCCATCTCCCCATCCGCTCACCCAGCCATCTACCTGTCTACCTGTCTACCCATCCACCCAGCCATCTCCCCCCGCCATCCACGCATCCATCCATCTACCTCATCTACCCATGCATCCAGCTCTCATCTGTATAGATTGATGGACTCCTATTTTATTCATCAGGTTATAATCCATTACTGTCCTTTTGTAATTCAATGCTCAAATTGTCCCAGATTTGTCCAGAGAGAGCCTCTTCATGCTGGCTCCAATAACAATACATAGTTTTAAGTTAGTTTTTTAAACTTCCAGTGTTAAATAGGTAGTTCTAAATAATAAGGCAAATTAGTTTGCAGGTGATTATAACTCAGATTTGGGGCAGTCGAGGTCTCTGGATTTGTAGAGGAGGCTGCGATGTGGTTTTCTCTCCCCAGTTGGCTTAGCTGCACCTCCGCACTATGGAAGCGCTTGCAGATCTGACAGGGTCCTCATGGTCTTACCCTGAAGTTTCTCTTCTGTCTGTGGAAGAAGTCCAGCCTGCCTGGTCCAGGCTGCAGCTGGGACTGGGCCACCGCAGAGCCAGACTCAGGCTTCAGGACCTGAGTTCAAGGCCTGGCCTTCCAGAGCTGCGAATGGGCCACGGAAGGGGCCAAGTGGCTGCCGCGTGTGGTGGGAGACAGGCAGTGAGAGGGGAAGGGGGAAACCGTTGCTTCCTGGGTTCGTAGAGCAGGAGGAATCACTAGTGTTATTTCTTTTTGCTTTAGGTTGGCTCGCATCATCTGAGACTCAACAGAGGCCTGGAAGCCAATGCCCCTGCTTTCGACAGGTAGGGTCATCTGACAGCATCCTAAGCCTCTCGTCCTTAGGAGCCTTCCTCCCATCAGACAGCAGCACAGGGAAGAGTGTGCAGTGGGAACGGGAGGACTCCAGATCCGGACTCTCAATCTGCCTTTTCCTTTAGTTCTTTATGCAACAAGAGAGTTTACTTACTGATAAGTAAGAATTTCTACTTACTCTCAGGTTTCGCTGAAGGTTCATTAATAAATGCTCAGGTAACACTTTGCAATTATTTTATCTGATCAGTTTCTTCTTCAATGAAACTTTATCCATTTGTCCCGGCTAATAAGGAATAATCTAAATTATCGGATATTTGTAGCTGGTTGGTTTTGTTTTAAAAGTAATATATTTCCAGGTTTTAAAAAGTCACAGTATAGGAAGGTATAAAGTGAGAAATAAAAGTACCCTAACTCCAAATTCCCACTGCTAGAGATTTTACTTTTAGTTTTTCCTATATCATTCTAGAAAAAATTTTGGCATATACATAGTTCATTTTTGAAAACACAAATTGGAGCATAACACACTTACCATCTTGCAATTTGCTTAAGAAAAGCCGTTGTTATCAAACCAGGTTTGTTTTGCCCATTGCATGAAAAGCCAGTCACCAAGATGACGAGTTTGCAGCAGAGAAAGGGTTTATTCACAAGGCAGCCAAGTGAAGAGACGGGAGAGCACATCTCAGATCTGCCTCCCTGAAGATGGGGATTAGGGATATTTATGGGATAAGGGGGCGGGGCGGTCTGAACTGTGGGGGTGATGATTGGAGGCAAAGAGGACTGAGGTAACTGCTGATCTGCACAGGTATAGTCAAGCTTCCTGCCTCTTCAGAGGATGTGTGTTTACAAAATGGCAGTGTTACCATGACCTGAGGGTGGAGTTTTTGGCTCCCTGACCTCAGGAGTTCACCTGTTGGACACCTGCACAGGCCCAGTTGATGGGCTGATGGTCTTGACCAGCCTGAACTAGATAGGGGTCGACTCTTAGTTCCTGAAAAACAACTCAGGCATCTGTTACCATGGTGACCCAAGCATCAGGGATGCTGTCTATGAGGAATTTAGTGGGACTTGGTTAATATATTGCCTATTTACCTGTCTTTTAAAAATATGCAGCATAGCCTAACAACAAGTGGGCAAATAACTGAAGGTTACAATTAATAATTGCCAAAAAATCTTTAGTTACTAGCTACATAATCATTAATGGCTAACTGTCCACCAGTTTCACCATCGCCAAGCAATTTGTCCTTGAATAGTTAATAGCCTCTTAAAATATTTGCTTTTTTAATCTAAATACTAATTTTAAAAATCATCTTAGTGAATGTAATAAAAATTCTCAAAGTGTAATTTTTAAGTGTTTTGATCATTCCACCTGAAGCCTCATTTGGACTTTAAATTGGCTTGCAGCCTTCTTGTTTACCACAAGGCCGGTGACACCAGCCCAGCTGTGACCCCCTAATTAGCATGTTACCAGTCGTGGGCTTTTACTGGAAAGAGATGTATAATCTATTAGTCAAAGTGCTCTGGCCTTTTTCTCAGAACACTATTAATGTGTGTACACATTGTGCGTATGGAGTTCTTTTAGTTGACATTGACCTATATTATATGTTCTTACTAAACATGTAATTGAATATGAAATTCTTCTTGAGCTGACCAGAAGCAAGAAGGAAGGGACATGCTGGGCTTGTTTCAAAAGCGTTCATGTGTTTTTGAGCTTTTTTTAAAAAAAAATATTTTAAGAACGTTTACATAGACTTGAAACTTTTTATTTATTTTTTTATTGTGAGGAAGATTGGCCCTGAGCTAACATCTGTACCAATCTTCCTCTATTTTATGTGGGATGTCACCACAGCATGGCTTGATGAGCGGAGCTAGATCTGCACCAAGGATCCAAATTTGTGAACCCTGGGCTGCCAAAGCAGAGCACACGAACTTAACCACTATGCTGGCCTGGGCTTAAAACTTTTTAAATCCTGTTAGTGTATGGTGTATGTACGTGTGTGCGTATGTGTGTGTGCGAGCTGGAGGGAATAAGCCCTCCCTTTTCTCACAAGCCCCCTTCCCTGAATCCAGGAGGTAAACTTAATCTCTTCTGCAAATCATCAAACAATTTTGTGAGACCATAAGTCCTTTTTCAAGCCGCTACTGCTTAAACTTGTTTGGCTTACAGTAAGTTTTATTTTTTCATGCTTCCAAACCACGAAGCTTGCCTAGAATTGTGCACTCTCACATTCCCAGTGGAAGGGGCTGCCCGTTCTCATGCTACTCGCAACAGTGTTGTCCTCACTGAGGATGACGTTTAGAAGTGAGGTCACACATTTCTCTAATAGACGGTGGTGGGGCGCTGGGGGCTCCCCTGAGGAGTGGGGCTGCCATCACGCCCTGGAGGGGTGTCCCAAATCTCTGGGTCATCACGGGGCTCTCTCAGGAGTTTCTGAGTTCTTTGATGGATTTGGTCCAGAGTAAACCCCTTCCCCACCCACCGCTACAGAAAATCCTTTACGTGGGTAGTTAGTACCTGCAGAATGCTTGTTGCTCATTGTCAATGCCGTGCCATTTGTGCAGGTTCCTCACTGTGTTCTTTTGTCTGCCATCTGTCTGGAGGGAGCTGGTGTTTTGAGCATGCCTCTGGCTGTGATTGCTTGAGGAGGATCTTGTCTCGCAGTGTGGCAATGAGTTTTGATGAAAGAATTAACCTTTCACCTTTGCGGGACAGTGCAACTCTTCTCCTTCCTCCCTCTGTCACCTTGCGTGGAGCTGCTTGTGTCTGGATTCTTGGTGTAGACATGAGGGGTGTTTGGCCGTTGATCCCTGAATGTGAGAAGGATGCTGCCAGATGCAAATCTGACTCCTCAATGTCCTGAAAACTCCACAGTTTTCCAAGGAGCTCCATGTAACAGTCAGAGAGGGGCAGAGAGAGTGAAAAAGGCTCCTGCATGCACAGAGCCACCTCAGTGGCCTTGGGGCGGACTCCAAGACCCTCCCCCTTGGAGCCAGTGAAATGAGTTTTTAATTTATCAATAAGTGTATTATCTTATTTTTAAATTAAAAGGAAGGAAAGAAAAACCAACTCCCATGTGCCAAGCACTGTCGTCGTCACTTTTACTCATCTTTTTAGTCCTCAGAACCATTCTTTAAATAAGGAGGATTGGCCTAATGGTGCAGACGAAGGAACTAGCTTGGAAGGGATGAATAATTTGGTCAAGGGTGTTTCGGGCTGGCGACACGAATGATGAGTAATATCGTTCGTCTTCCAACTCTGGAATTGGGAACCAGCTGACACTTAGGTCAAGCTTCAGGCAATTGGAGATGAGACATCAGCCTTATTTCTGATAAGCTGCATTGTGGGGTGTGGCCACAGTGGACATCCTCACATTTCACCGCCAAATCAAAGGTACTCAGTGATGGGCTGAGCTCAGACTTCCCACCCAAGTGGAGCCTGCTCTTGGGCTCCACATGTCGGACCTCAGGCCAGGATGCACCGTCTCCGGGCATGCAGACCCAGAAGAGGGCCCATAGGGGCCGAGCCACACACATCCCGTTTCTTCTGGCTCCCTCGCCCAGGGCTGCCGCAGTGCACAGCTCCAGGGACAGTGCACAGCCTGTCAGCTCGTGCAGAGCCTCTATTTTGAGCCATCTCTTCACGCCCTCCGTCTTCCCCCCAAGGAGGGCCTGCAGGGCTGCCAGGAGCATCTTTCTAGGAGGATTCCTCACACAGAGAGGAGCCTGGGGGTAGACGCACCCTTAACTTGTCATCAGAGGAACCCTAACCACCCACTTCAGAATCCATATTCTTCTCCTGCACTCTGCTAGCCCTCAAAGTAGGAAGTATTTTTTTCTCTTATTGGGCTAAAAATGGTTCTTTTGTATTAATTAACTTGAAAAAAATCCATTTATAAAAGAAACATTTCATTGTAGAAATTTGGAAAATACAAAAATGTATAAAGAAGAAAAAAATTTAAATCACATAAAATTCCACCACTTTTGACAACACGGAGTGTTATCTCCCAGTCTTTTCTCTATATTTAGGGATAAAGATCGCACTCTTAAAATAGAGTTTTGCATCTGCTTTTTCCATTTTGTCTTTTTCCTATGGTTTTTTTTTTTTTTTAAAAACTACGTGTGAACATTTCTAATGTTATTAAAATTGTAAAGTTACTTTTCAAAAGCTGGTGGTAAGGGGTAAATATTAGAATCTCTCCCTAATATTTCAACACGTGTTTAAAAAGTAGTCTCTGATGTACGAATATTTTTGTAAAGCCTGAGATTTTGGTGTGCCCTCTTGTTTGGGTTAAACGTAATGAAATGCAGCACTTAGAGAAAAAAATGGACACTGAGGTTGACAGCTCTCCTACCAATTTTTCAAGTTTGGAGAAGGAAGGTACCAGGTGAAGCCAGAGATTAATTTCAGAGAGATGCACATTGCATTTCTAAAGCTCTGTTAATGAAAGGCCGAGTTCGCTGTTCTAGATTTCATGGAGGAACTGTATAGAAAGGCTGGCATACCTTCATCTGCTATTCTGCTTATGTAGAAGTCTGACATATTGTGAGTTCCTCTCAGCCTGTGCCTTCCTGCACACAGATGGTTGACATGCTTGTCCCTGACAGTGAGGTTGAGTGAGCAGCCAGGGGGCTGGGAGAGATCTCCATCCTTTGGGCTCATTTTCCCACACTTCGGGCTCTGGGGGGGTGGCGCCTCCTGGACCTCTCGTGCGCATCAGGTCCCTTCTGCACCCTGTGTCCTGGCGACACGGGGTCACGTGCTGCCCTGCTCCCTTGCAGGCATATGGTGCTTCTGAAGGAGCAGTATGGGAAGCAAGTGGTCGTGAACCTGCTGGGGAGCAGAGGCGGAGAGGAGGTGCTCAACAGAGCGTTCAAGGTAAACCCTGTCCCTTGCCTGCTTCCTGCACCGTGCGGGGGTGGGGGGGCGGGGTGGTGGTGAGGGAGCCCAGGGCCCCGCCCCGAGGCGGGCTTCTGTGGGCACTGGAAACAGTGCTGTTCTCACTGCCCTCACCATCTTTGGGGAGGTTTTCTTCCGCTTCTCTCCAGCATTAGGCAATTAGGGTTCCTGGCGTATGAAGGTTAACTTTAATGAGCTGGCGACTGGGAGAATTGGCTCAAAGTCAAAACAAAGCATCTCCCGTCACCAGCTGCGTTTCCTCCACTGCTCCCTTCTGGGGCTGTGAGGACTCACGACAGCTGGGCCTTTCCCGGCTCTCTTGGGCGGGCACACACACACACACACACACACACGTGCACATGTGCACATGCACATGCATGCCTTTCGGCTTCATCCTGCACATCCCTGAGCTGGTGAGGGAGCCTGAGTTCCCCGTTCCTTCCTTAGTGTGGCTCAGCTGCCGGCTCCTGGCGAGCTCCCACAGACTCCCGCAGGGCACCTGTGCCTGGAGTGGCCCCTTAGAGCCCCTGCTCAGGTTAAGGCAAGGAATCTACCTGATTTCCTCCTGTGAACTTGGAGCCTTCAAACCTTCCAGCCTTGTTGGAGCTGCCCCTGAAACTGAACCCTGTGCCCGGCTCCCTGTGGCTTCTGCAGAAAAACTCTCTGGTTGTCTAAGCTCAAGAAGCCCTGTAGGAGGAGAGTTTGAAGTGAGACTTCAGCTCAGTGGGAACGGAGGGCCCACCTCTGCGTGTCTCCTGCTGCCCTGGCCCCTGACCCCTGGCTGGTGGACGCTGAGTCCAGCTGGTGCTCATTTCTCTGCTCAGAAAAGCCGCGTGCTTGGAGCAGACTTTCCGGTGGCCAATTTCATTTGGCCAGACCTGCTTTTCCTGTTTGGTTTGTTGCTATTGGCAACAAGCTGGGCCGTATCTCCTCTCCCTCCCATCTTGGCAGCAGTGTTGGCAGCTTATTTTAAGGGAGAAGAAGAAGAAGAAGAAAAAAGAACCCAAGAATCTCCTGCCCCTTTATGTCTTGAGTTATGGGAAGGGGACATCCTCAGCCCCTGTGTCAGCTGGTGGAAGTGTCCCCAAGCTCATTTGTCATCGTGGGGGCAGGAGATGGCAGCGGTCTCGTGGCCCAGGTCGGGGAGGAAGGCTCCCGGGCAGATAGGAGGTCAGAAGTGGACACACCACTTGGAGGAGACCTGCCTGGGCTCCAGCTCCTTCAGCCCATCAGCTCTGCCACACTGAGGTCCATGCACCACGAGCTGGCCTGTGACCAGCGGTAGTTGGGCCACAATTGGACAAAGCACTTGCTCCAGAACATAAATCCTGTAAGTGGCGCACTCTTGAGTTCAGCATACTTCTTCGTAGCAAGACTTTCTTAGTGATGCCAGCCGTGTGCTGATTTGCATTCTGGCTCACGGTGGACGGGCACTCTTGTGTTTCAGGGACCAGATAGATTGAAGTCATTCTAGTCCTTCAAGGTCATTAGATTCTCTGGCTGGGCGAATGCTGGACAAGTCTGACCTGAAGCCATGCAGGAGGGTGTGGGATGGGGAGGCCTGAGGCTAGGTGCCCTGGGAGGGCAGCCAGTTCACCCTTTACTGTCTGCTGAGAGCGCTGAGGAGCTGTCGGGTGAGGCTCCTCCTGTGGAAAGGAGGCCTCTGCCAGGAGCCTCACGTGGGCTGGTGTCTACCTGCTGTGCTTTCCCATCTCCAGCCCCACCTCCATTCCAGTTCACGTGCCAGACTGGGCCCACTGGCCCTGGCCACCTATCTCCCCCACCCTGATGTTTCACTGGGCTGTGCCTCCTGCACCTCCTCTCTTGGGGCCCCGAGGACCCACCAGGAGACTTGGCTACTTCTGAGCACACCCGCCAGAGACATGTGCTTGTCAGGATGGGACTGGTTACCAGGGCAACGGGGAGCTGGATTATGAGCTCCGCAGCCTGCCGCGCTGCCCTGCCCTGGGTGGGCCTGTGGCACTTGGGAGCCTGAAGAGCAGAGCAGCCCTTCCCTCGTCGGAGCCCTGCGGAAGGGTGATGTCGCTGCAGGGCTGTGGGCTGCCCCAAGGAGCCACACCCGCTCTGGCTGTCTTTTGCCCAAGGTGGACCTTCTGCAGGCAAGATGCTCTTGTCCCCGGGGTCTTTGTTCTGGGCCTCCTTTTCCGGGTCAGGACCGATAAACTGCTTGGTCCACCCTGAATTGTAAAGCTAAACCGTGTGCTCCCGCAAGTGAGCTGCTCGGATTCCGGCTGTGAGAGGAGGTTCGCAGTCACTGTCTCCCTCCCTCCCTGCCACCCTCTTCCTTTCCCCTTTCAGAAGTTGCTCTGGGCTTCCTGCCATGCTGGCGACACGCCTATGATCAACTTTGACTTCCATCAGTTTGCCAAAGGCGGCAAGCTAGAGAAATTGGAGAACCTGTTGAGGCCCCAGCTGCAGCTGCACTGGGATGACTTTGATGTGTTCACCAAGGGCGAGAATGTAAGTCCACGGTGAGTCTCCACCTGCGTCTGCATCTTCCTGCGACTTAGCTGAGCGTCCAGGGATGTGTGCCCTCCCTCGCTCCTAGCTACCCTTGCAGTTTCCTGACCACAGGCTCAGCGATGTTGGGGATCCTGGGTTCCAGCCTTCTCCTTTCCCTTCTGCAATCAGAAAATGCTTTTGAATTTTGCAAGTAGATGGCAAAGCATGGTTTTCTGGCAAGATTAACTTACTAATAAAGGGGACTAGGTTAAAATGTGGATCCATGGTGACCATCTAACTTATCATCCAAACTGTGATGAGAACCCGTGAGAGTGAAGGGGGCAGCTAGCATAACCCCGATTGCCCCAGGAAGCTGGGATGGGGACTCCTTGCTCCGAAAGGAAAGGAAGTCCAGTTTCCTCAAATCACAATACAGTGGAGCCTTGTGATTCACAGGTTCTGTGTTTGCAAATTTGCCCAGTCGCTAAAATTTATTTGTAACCCCCAAATCGGTGCTCATGGTACTTTCACAGGCATGCTTAGAACAGTGACAAATTTGAGTCACCCGATGTGCATGTTCCCAGCTGGGGTGGAGCAAGGCTACGCTCTGCCTTCCATTTCAGCTCTCCTGCTGTAAATGTGTCCTTTTGACAATCTATTTAGTACCACGTTTTTCACTTTTTTGTGTATTTTCTTGGTGATTTCACTGTTTAAAATGGCCCCCAATATATTGCTAAGTGCTGCCTGCTGTTCCCAAGCCCAAGAAGGCTGTGACATGCCTGTTGGAGAAAATACACGTGTCAGAGAATCTTCGTTCAGGAACGAGTTACATGCTGTTGCCAAGAGTTCAGTATTAACCAACCAACAGTGTGTATGGAATTAGGTGTCTTTAAACAGAAACACAACAAAACAAGGTTCTATGTTGACTAGTTGATGAAAATGTGTGATCAGAGGCTCCAGGGACCTAACCCTGTATTTCTCCTAGGAGCAAGGGTTCAGCATTTGCTAATTTGCTAATGGTTCAATTCACAAATTGCTCACAGCAACTTTCTAGAACAAAGCTATGGCAAATAACGAGAACTGACTGTGTTGATAATGACCCAGGTGTGCAGTCTGCTGAGTGTGTGCTCTAGGTCAGCATGCCACTCTAGCACTGCTGGGGTCCATCGGGATGCTGGGGTCCGTTGGGATGCTGGCGCCCGTTGGGATGCTGGGGCCCATCGGGATGCTGGGGTCCATCGGGACGCTGGGGCCCATCGGGACGTTGGGGTCCATCGGGATGCTGGCGCCCATCGGGATGTTGGCTGGGGCCCATCGGGACGTTGGGGTCCATCGGGATGCTGGTGCCCATCAGGATGCTGGCTGGGGTCCATCGGGACGCTGGGGCCCATCGGGACGTTGGGGTCCATCGGGATGCTGGCGCCCATCGGGATGTTGGCTGGGGTCCATCGGGACACTGGGGCCCATCGGGATGCTGGGGTCCATCGGGATGCTGGCTGGGGCCCATCGGGATGCTGGGGTCCATCGGGATGCTGGCTGGGGCCCATCGGGATGCTGGGGTCCATCGGGATGCTGGGGTCCATCGGGATGCTGGCTGGGGCCCATCGGGATGCTGGGGTCCATCGGGATGCTGGCTGGGGCCCATCGGGATGCTGGGGTCCATCGGGGTGCTGGGGTCCATCGGGATGCTGGCTGGGGCCCATCGGGATGCTGGCGTCCATCGGGATGCTGGGGCCCATCGGGATGCTGGGGTCCATCGGGGTGCTGGGGTCCATCGGGATGCTGGCTGGGGCCCATCGGGATGCTGGGGTCCATTGGGATGCTGGGGTCCATCAGGATGTGTTCTGGGGGTTCTGGTGGGCTATCAGGGAGGAGGTGAGTTTTGATATGCCTTTCCTCAGGGGTCTACAGTCAAACATAGGCCATCGCGCTACGGCCATTGCTCCTTCGAACGTAACTCGTAACCATCTGCATTTCCTGTTTTCCTAAGTTTTCAGAGAGGCACTTTGCGTATGAACTGTCTCGACTGCCTGGACCGAACCAACACAGTGCAGGGCTTCATCGCGCTCGAGGTCTGTCCCCGCCGCGGCCCCTCGAGCCAGCTGTGTCGTGTCCTGTGCTTCCCGCAGGGCCTGGGCTGTGCGCCTTCATCAGCAAGATGAGGGTGGCGTTGCTGGGCTGACTCTCTGACTGTGGGGAGGCGGGACGGGGATGTGCCGGGCATCTGGAGAGAGGTGTTCCTGGGTGGCTGGCTTGCCTGTGCCCCAATATGCCTTTGACCCGTCACAGGCACACTTTTTCACCCTTTTTGGAATGCATCCCAGACGCGATGGCCCAAAGGTGCCAGGTGCCACCTTGAGGAGGAACAGTTCTGTGGAATGATTGTTCCCTTGGGCAAAGGCGCCGTGAGGCTGGCTGAGACGAGGCTGGGTTTGAAGCCTGGGACAGAGACCTGAGTCTGTCTAGTGGCCTGCTGCCTGGGTGACCTCGCCTGGCGCACTGCTGGGCTGGGGTCAGCGCTGTCTGCCCTCTGCCCCTGCTTGCTGTCCAGCCCTCTGGTAGTGGGGGCAGAGGGGTCAGGAGTGGGGGGGTCAGAGGAGGGCTGGGTGGAACAACAATTTAAAGTTGGGGTGC